GGGGGGCAGGGGGAGGCAGCCAAGCAACAAGGCGATTTCATAGCTCTGGTGTTTCCAGTGAATTTGTTTTATAACTCCTGATCTAACCTCTGACTGCTCGAGTCCTGAGGTGGGTTTCAGGGAGCTGGGCGCAGTGTCCCTCCTGCATACAGCACGGCGCGGTGGTCAGTCTACACAGCCTTTGCAAAGGCAGTTCGCCTGCTCTGTGGTGGTTTTGCTTTTGGAGATAGGATTAAGTCTGGAACTGCAGGTGGTTATCAGGGGAAGGATGTCAAACCCCAAACAACCCTTCCTCGCCACCCCATGGGCCTGGAAAGCAGAGCAGAGGGGTTGCAGCATGCTCCCCCTGCAGCCTCGCAAATGGCGCTGGGGAGAGTGGCGCTGGCTGCACAGCTGCCAGCGAGCACCCGGGCTGGGGGCTGTGCTGGCTGCCCTCCTGGGACCCCCCTCATCCTCATGGGTTCCCGTACAAGCAGCCACCACCATCTACAGAATGTACCAGCTCAAAGGGGAAGAGGGAACAGGCACAGTGGCATGGCACGAGGGTGGTGGGGACAGCTGCCAGGAGGGGCTCAGCTCAGTGCCACCACCAGCGTGCTGACACAGGGACCTTCCTGGAGGTCCCTGCAGCCCTGTGGGCATGGGAGAAGAGGTGGGAGAGAGGGAGGAGACACTCACTCTTCTCCTCCATCTCTCTTGTGCTGTACACATCAAATACTCTGCTGAGGACTGTTGAAAATGCCTGGCAGTGTCAGGGAAAGCAGCAGAGGCTGCAGACAAGTTAACCCCGGGGAGAGCAGGTCCTTCCCAAAATCTCCGTGGCTCTCAGATGCAGACAAAATGTGGGATACACCCTAGCTGTCAGGGAAGGCAGCCTGGCATCTGGTTTTGATGCTTTTTCCAACTCCTTGGCCCTAGCTCCCGGCCTCCCAGGCAGGTGAAAAGCAAACATGGGAGCACTCGCAGAGGCGTCATGCCCTGTGGCCAACAGGATGCTAGTATTCGGCTTCTGCAAGGTGTGGGAAGGCTTTAAACAGTACATTTTGCTGTCACAGCTGTCACATCCTGCTTCACACGGTGGTTTTGCACGTTTTCTGTCCTCATGCCGGTGGTGTTTCAGTCACAAGCAATTTCAACATGCTCAGTGCATGTTGACTTATTTTCTCAGAGAAAGACATACGTGAGTCACCACAGAGCTGATAGTAAGAGAGGATCCCTCCTTTGCTCCCATGAAGCACAAACTCTGGAAGCTCCAGGGGACAGGCTATGCCCTCAGGCAGGTCCCCTGGGTCCCTGCTCAGGCCCAGGACTCTGTCCTGCCTCTCTGCAAACCCAGCAGTCGTCACAGCATCCTTGCTGGGAACAGCCCAAGGGAAGGTTTAGACTGGATATCGGGAAGTCTTTCTTTCCAGAAGGGGTTGTTGGGGGTTGGAATGGGCTGCCCAGGGCAGGGGGGGAGTCCCCATCCCTGGAGGGGTTGAAGAGTCGGGGTGACCCAGCGCTGAGGGATCTGGTGGAGTTGGGAACGGTCAGTGTGAGGTTCATGGTTGGACTGGAGGAGCTTCAAGGGCTTTTCCAACTGAGATGATTCTGTGATGGCCACTGGAGATGAGACACAAGAAATGGCTTCTCTGCTCTTAAAAATTGCAGACTCCCCAGGGCACAACATCCAGCAAGGCAGCCCCTTCCCACCCAAGCAGGTCTCTGACCCAGGAAGACCCAATAGCACAAACGCCTACCCTCCCTCAGGACAAGGGCCCCACAGCACCTGGGGACCTCAGTGCTCACAACAAAGGGATGCCACAGGCCAGGGGCTCATCCCACAGCCCTGTCCTCTGCAGTCACTGGAGACTGCTGGAAGGAGATATCTGTGAAATATATACATATTTCCTGTAATAGGACGTAGGAATATGTATACACACACACACACACACACACACATTCTTTATATATATATTAAAAATACTTTTATATATTTTATTTAATATCTTTTAATGTTTTTTTTCTGTAATTTTTTATATATATAAAAATATATATCTATAAAAACACCTATATACACATTGTGTGATACTCTGCATGAAGAGGGTCTTAGCCAGTGGAAAGCCCTGCATATGGCCATCTGCCTTGGTGGGATCTATCCACATCAGAAAAACAAGTGATGGAAGAAATGGTTATAAGCCAAGTGACATCCACTCTCCCATCCTTGCTGTACACCACTCTGCTCATTTCCCACCTGTGCACAGGGTCTGGGGCCACCCAGATTTGGGTGGGGAAAGGACCAGCACTGCTGGGTGTGATAGCCACTGTGATGGCACTGTGGCACCAGGGATGCTTGGGAGCGTGGAGGAAGTACCCAGGGGCACTGAGGCACAAGCACTGACATTAGTGACACCTCCCTGTTGCAGGTGGATGGTGCAAACACCCCAGGAGTCCTCCTGGGATGCTGGGGACGAGAGCATGTCCTCACATCTTGCAAGAAAACATGTTTAACAAAGCACTGAAGGGGAGTTGTGGCTAACAGACTGCAAGACCCATCTTTGCTGTTGAACCCTCATTTTATAGCAGCAAGATCACCACTAGCATCAACACTTCCTCTTCAGCCCTATTTATAAACCCCGACTGGTTCCTCCATGCTGCACAGCAGCCTGCCCCATCCCGCTGACACCTCCAGCCTGAGATGCTAGTGTGCCTCTGATTTGCTTCCTGCCCACACGCAGGCCAGCACCCAGCCTTTTCCTCATGCACCTTCCCCGAGGCCACCTTCACATTTTCTGCCTCACAGACCTTTCAGGAGCATCTTGCCCTGCCTAAATCATGCCAAGTACATGACTTACAGCAAGCAACAGATACTCCATAGACAGAATACCCTGGTGGCTTCTGCAAAGAGCTCCTGGTGAAGCAGAGCCCTGGCCTGGAGCTGCCCAAGGCATGTGGTGAGAAATTCAGAGCTCAGGGCCAAGCAGGACCTTGGTCCCAGGGTGCAGCCTTGTCCTCCACAATGCCACCATGCAGTCCTGGCCCAGGAGGACCCTGGTGGCAATGCAACCTGCCCCTATCCAGGGCGCTTGTCATCTCTCTCCGCAACCCAGGATGAAGGTGGTGGTAAAGCTCTGCAGTTCTGTTCCTTCACACAGAGCAGGAAGATGGACTATGCGCATCCCTCTGATTGCCTTAATTTATGAAAATGAGGAAAAAACACCCAAACATCCCAGGCAGAGCACACTGAGGAAAAGAGCACCCAGGACTGGTGGTGGCAGTGCAAATCCAGGACTGAGCCAAAGGGATTGTCAAGGGAGTTGGAAAAAATGATGCTGAGGCCCATGTCTAGGCCCTGCTAATGCGGAGTCAGACTGAAAACCTGCTTTCCCCTCCTCTGAAACACTGTAAGGAGGCAGACAAGAGCAGAAGCCCCATTTGTTCTCTTTGAAAGTCACCCTACATCACGTATACATTTACCCACCCACACACCACTGAATAATTTCCCTCCACAGCAGAAGTGGTGAGCTTTCTTCTGCTGCTCTCCTCTCATATCAGGATGTGCTTTATGTTCTTGTGACAGAGGAAAGAAATTACTTTGGGGATTAGAAAGGCATTCAAATCCAGGCCATGAAATGAACCCTACGTTACAAAATTCAATAGCAGCCAGAACTGGACATGTGTTGAGGTTCCCACTTTATTTCTGGGGTTTGGGAGCTTTTTAAAATCCAGTTTTAATTCGAAACTTGCTCTGATGAGCCAGTGAGTAGGAACCTCTAACCTCCAGCAAGGATGAAGAGCTCTCAGAGCCCTGGTCCACCCCATAACTGCCCCATGCCTTGGCATGGCAAGCAGGAAATAAACACTTGGAAACTTTGGGCAGATGGGATGGCAGGAGCTGAGGGGAGACCTCATCGCCCTCTACAACTCCCTGAAATGAGGGTGCAGAGAGGGGGGATGAGTCTTTTGAACCAAGGAACAAGCGCCAGGACAAGAGGGAATGGCCTCAAGCTGCACCAGGGCAGGGTCAGACTGGCTCTTAGGAAGCATTTCTTCCCAGAAGGGGTTGTTGGGCGTTGGAATGGGCTGCCCAGGGCAGGGGGGGAGTCCCCATCCCTGGAGGGGTTGAAGAGTCGGGTTGACCCAGCGCTGAGGGATCTGGTGGAGTTGGGAACGGTCGTCAGTGTGAGGTTCATGGTTGGACTGGAGGAGCTTCAAGGGCTTTTCTAACCAAGATGACTCTGTGATTCTGTGAGCTCATCCAGCCCATGGGTTTTGTCCCCATAACCTGTGTAGAGACTTCTAGTTTGTAGAAGAGCTGGAGCCTAACTAGGCATATCTCGGGGGTCGATAGGCTGAATGCTACAGGAAACAAGGGGGGAATGGTTCTTGCCTCCAGCTAGCAGTGGCAGCTCTTGATGGGCTAGAGTCCATTTCCCTGGCCCTGTTTTTTGGGGTAGGTTGCAGAAATACAAGTTCACACTGTTTTCAGCATCCTCCAGGCACTACTAATTAACCAGACAATTGTGGCAAAGCAGATACAGTCAGCAATCAATAACAAATGCAGAGCGTGAATACAGCTGAGAGTACAGCAAAGGTGGACATGAAGGAGGCAGCTATGCCTCAGAGTGCAGTGTTGGACTGGCAGAGGTTGCTGGGTGCACCTCAGGTACAGGGTGTCACAGCCCAAATAACTGATCAAAGTAATTTTCCAGCAAGGTGCACCCAGGAGGGTCCAACAAGGATCTGATGTCCACCCTGCCTTGACAAGAGCTTTTACTGTTAAGACCTTTTAATTTATTTGTTTGTTTTCCACTTTAAGAGTTTTAACCTGTTGTCTGCAAGCTCAAACAGTGCTGGCAGAATTTAGAGGTGACAAAAAGGTGTTGGGCCAGTTAAGCACAGCAAGTGTGTATCATGCAGGTGGGGATGTTGCAGCTGTGATGATAAAGGATTCTGCTATAAACTCACCAAGGTGGCCTGTGGTGGTGGAGAGGGACTTGTGGAAGACATCTATCTGTAGAAGGGCTCTGTCACCCACCACAGGATGGCCTTGGGCCAGACACAGCAGAGTGAGCTCCTGGACCACATCACCATGAGGGTTTGACCAGGTGACCACTGAGATGTCCGTGCAGCTGTGCAGTGGCACAGCTGATGGAGCTGTGCTGGGGAGGCAGCAGGGCAGGGTGGCTTCCCAAGGCTGCAGACTTTCACATGCAGATGGCCTCTGCCATAAGCAATGGTGGCAACCAGCCTTAGTGGTCCTGCCACGTCTCTGAGTCCGTACTCCAGCTGGGCACCAAACCTCACTGTCCTGGTTTTGGCTGGGATAGAGTTAATTCTTCTTCTTAGTAGCTAGAATAGTGCTGGGGTTTGGATTCAGCATGGGATTTGGTATGAGAAGAATGCTGATAATACGCTGATGTTTATGGTTGTTGCTAAGAGATCAAGGTCTTTCCAGCTCCCCGTGTCCCATCCATGCACAGATGTACAAGAATCTGGGAAGGGGCACAGCCAGAGCACCAGAACTAAATTAGCCAATTGAATATTCCATATCATGTAACGTCATGCTCAGTGTATAACGGAGGGGTGGCCAGGAAGGAGGGCAGTTATCTCTTTCTTCCAGGATTGTGACTGCAGGATCTTGTTTCTTCTTGAACACTAGCCAGGAATGGGCTGGGTATCAGCATTGTGCATTACCTGCTTGTACTTTCTATTATTGTATTTTATTACAATAACTAATTGTGGGTTTTTTTATCTCAACCCATGAGTCTTCCTTTACCCCTCCAATTAATTCCCCCACTTTCCAGGCAGGGGGAGGGTGAGAGAGCAGCTGTGTGGTGTTTGGCTGCAGGCCAGGTTCAAACCCCAACAAATGTCACTGTGCAAATGTCACTGAGATGACACCCATTGACATACACAGACCTTCTTTCTACCCTCAGGAGGACACCAGACCTTTCAAGGCTGGCCAGTGTCATCCTTTGCTGGTATCTTACAGAGGCTGATGAGTTAAGAAAGGACATCCTGATGTCTCAGAAGGGGATCTGAGCAGCCCCACATATTAATGTGGCCTCAATGCCTTGTTTTCTTGTTTCCACTTCACTCTGAGCTGTTAATTTGGCAGGTTCACAGGAGGGAGTGATGGCACTTTGCAAAGTCATCAGGAGCCAGGGAGTGGTTATTTTCTCGCTCAGGGCAGCGTCAGAGCTATTTCAAAACGAATTAACTGGTTTTCAGTTGCTATGTCTAATATTGCTAAAAAGGGCAATGTTTGTTGTTCCTTCATGCTTTCATATTCCTTTTTCTTCTTTTAACAAATTCCTCTTTTCTCACTTCCCCATGTGCGTCCATGTTGCAAGGCCATGACTCTGTTGGGTTTTACTCTGAGGTTGAGCTGGGGGGAAGGCATTATGAGAAGTTACGGCATTAATAAACATGATCTCACTGACATGATGGGAAGAACGCTGAAAAATCATTCTCCAAGAGCAATTTAGACAACTTTGTGGATAGCATAAATTTCTGGGATCAGGAGATGTGCTTTGGGGCAAGAAGCAAGTAGCATGAGCAGCTAGAACAAGCACTGTGAGAAAGGGCTTTTGAAGAACAGGGTCTGAAACACTGGTGTAGCTGAGGATAGCAAGTGCTTGTGGAGTTTGGACAATGTACTGGGAGTCCTTCTGTTCACTCTGATAAGAAATGTGCAGCCACCTCCCAGCCCCAGGGTCAGAGGCCCCACGCACAGCATCACGTCCTGACCCATCTCCCTGTGCGGGTCTGACTCCACCACCCCCTCCTTCTTCCTCACCCCACGCATTGTGCAAGAGCCAGCCTGATGCTTGGCACTCTGGCAGGCTGGACCTCACCGTGCAGTGTGAGCCACCCTCTCCACTTCCCTTGGGGACTGGACTGTGGCTTTCCTAGGATGTCAGTTGCCTGTGCTGTGATGTTGGAGACCCTTGCTTGTTGGAAAACCTCAGCAGAAAAACTTAGATTAATTCACTACATTAAATACTCCATTTCCTTGATGAATCAGTGAAATGTAAAGCAAGTAGTAATAGGCTTTTTTCCCCATGTAGCTAGCACGCCATGGTAGTTAAGTAATGGAAACGGTCCTTTCCTTTTTTTTTTTTTTCTTAATTTCTAAATTCTCCAATTTCCATCCAAATATAGCTCTACACAGAAACTGAAAAAACTCACATCTAATAAAAACTAAATGCAGTGCTTGAGATTTTCCAGTGTTGCATAGAAGAGTCTGGATAAATACTACATCAGCTGAATGCATAAAGATACACTGCAAGTTCCCACTCTGCTGACTTCCACGTTTAGTCCAAAGGCCATGTTTATTGTAAACCAACTTATTTTCTTACGAGCACATGAGCACTTGTCCCAAGTCAGCCCACACACCCAGGCTGCCCTGACCTGACCCCGGCTGCCCAACTCCCAGGGCTGCAGCAGGGTCACCCTCCCGGGCTCTGCCTGCAGTGGCACAGCTGCAGGAAGGGCACATCCCCCGGGGGCCACCATCCTCTGCAGCCACTTTCTATAGCACTCGAGGGCTCCCCGCTCTGCAGCTGTCATGCACCAGGTGCTCACAGGGATGCTGTTTGTCTTGCAGGAAATGTTGCGTGACCGGTGCCTCTGGCTACCAGCGGTGACCTGGGTGCTGCTGCTGGTGATGACAGGTGAGCCCAGCCTGCCCTTCCTCACTGCCTTCCTCCCAGCACCTTATGTGGCAGTGAACCCCACCAATGCTGCCCATTGGGAGAACCCATTTGGGAGAACCTGCTGCCCATTTGTGAGAACCCAAATGCTGGACAACAGTGGCAGGAACATAGCATTGGGAGATGTGCAAGGGCCAGATCTTACATTTCCTGGGATCTGGACTTAACTCGAGCCAGCCCAGCTGAGGGACAGCAAGGCCCTGTCAGGGCCTCCAGCTTGGGTTTATAGGCAGTGTGGGCTCAGGACAGCATGGGGGCCTGACGCTGGGTCAGAGCACCCCATGGCTGCTGCTGCTGTGGACTGGCCTCCCCCAGGTGCCCCCCACACCAATGCTGTCTTCTCTTTGTTTCAGCCTTTGCCATGGAGTGCCCCAAGATCAAGGTGGGGACGTGCAAGGACTGCATCCAGTCTGGTCCCGGCTGTGCCTGGTGCAAGAAGCCGGTAGGTCTGCATAGCCTCTTGCGTTGTCAGCCCCCAGCAGTCAGCTAACAGGTGGCGGGATGGCCACCCTGCCTGCCTGGTTCTGCCTGCCGTGGAGTGGGGACACTGCATCGTGGGGGTGTTTCATCTCTTACATGGTGCATGGGGCCAGGAGGGGTCTGACAGACAGGACCCTTCAACATTTTTTTCTCCACTGATATGCGGGAGATTGGTTTGGGAGCTGTGCCATCATGTAACTAGCCCGTTCATCTCCTGCTTCTCTGATTTTTTTTCCCACTGATGTTGCAACATGCAGAGTTTCACCAAAGCTGGTGAGCCAGACTCCATCCGCTGTGACACCATTGAGCAGCTTCAACAGAGGGGATGTCTGCTCAGCGAGATTGAGTTTCCAGTCAACAACATTACGAGAACACGAGACAGTCCCTTAAGCAACGACATACAGCTGACTCCCCAAGAGGTGCACCTGAAACTGAGGATAGGTATGGTCTGCCTGGCATTCCCAGCGTCCTTCCACTTGTCCCAGGCTCAGCTGGGACATGGCAGCACGTCTCAGCCTGCATTTCCTCCCCTTTTCTTCCAAAAAAGAGGAGGATCCCAGCAGGGGTGTGTATGATGGGGTGAGATGTGAGCCCCAGCACGGCAGCTGACCCTGGCATCCCTGTCCCACAGGGCAGCCTGCTGTATTTGAGGTGAAGTTTCGCCGTGCCATGGGGTACCCCATTGATCTCTACTACCTCATGGACCTCTCCTACTCCATGCTGGATGACTTGGAGAAGGTGAAGAAGCTGGGAGGGGAGCTGCTCAGGGCGCTGGAGAGCACCACCCCTTCTCGCCGCATAGGTGAGGCCGTCACTGGCACGGACCCGGCACAGCTGTTTGCTGCTGGGAAGAGCCACGGGGCTGGAGTCGGATGCAGGCAGTGGGCAGCGTGACCCGTCCTCTGCCCACCTGGAGAGTGTGCCAGGGCAAGGGACGTGGACATGTACGCGGGGGCCAGCAGATTGTCTGTGCCCTTGTGCTGCAGGGATGCCTGCTGGTCCCTCCTCCACCTGACACTGCAGTCTTGCATGCCCTAGGATTTGGCTCCTTCGTGGACAAGACAGTGCTGCCCTTTGTGAACACGCACCCTGAGAAGCTGCAGAACCCCTGCCCCAACAAGGACAAGCAATGTCAGCCTCCCTTTGCCTTCAAGCACATCCTCTCACTGACCGACAATGCCAAGAAGTTCGAGAGCGAAGTGGGGAAGCAGTCCATCTCAGGGAACCTGGATGCCCCGGAGGGGGGGCTGGATGCCATGATGCAGGCAGCGGTGTGTGGGGTGAGTCCCTGCATCCGTCCTACTGCCAGCAGCATGCGAGGCATGAGGACTGCGACCCACGCTCACGGACTGTCCCTCGGGAGGTGGCTCTGCCCCTCCCCAGGTGGGCTCTAGAAGCCCATCGTGTGTAAGTCTTGATTCGGCAGTGGAGCAGGTTACTCTGGGGTGGTAAGAGAGCATCTTGACCCCAGAGCCTCCTGACCCCAGTCTCCTGTAACCCACCTCCCCTATGCCCTCTGCCCCACACTGTGGCTGGGATGAAACTTTGGCAAGGGCCATACTGTGCCTGCTGGCACTGTTCTCCCAGCCCCGCTCAGAGACAGGTCTCCATGCCACTTGCAGGACTTGATTGGCTGGCGCAACGTGACCCGCTTGCTGGTGTATGCTACAGATGATGGCTTCCACTTTGCTGGTGATGGCAAGCTTGCGGCCATCCTGACCCCCAACGATGGCCAGTGCCACTTGGAGGACAACATGTACAAAAGGAGCAATGAGTTTGTAAGTACCCAGGGCTGCTCAGCAACTCCACCCTCAGCCTCACTCCCCCAGGCAGAAAAAAAGTCACATAAAAAGCCTGTTGCTGAGACCACAAAGTCTCACCATTATTTGGCCTGTGAAACACAAACTGTCCACCCTTCTGCTGGTGGGTGAGATTGAGCTGAGTGTGCTGACCCTCTTCCCACCTAGGACTACCCATCTGTTGGCCAGCTGGTCCAGAAACTTGCTGAAAACAACATTCAGCCAATTTTTGCTGTCACCAGCAAGGTGGTGGATGTTTACAAGGTAAGGAGACTTGAGATGGTCCAGGTGCCTCCCAACCCTCCCCAGGAGGACTGAAGCAGCTGGACGTGCCCCTGCCACTGCCCCCTGCTCTGCTGTCACACAGAAGGGGACTGCTCACCTCTTTGCTCTCCATTGGCAGAAACTCAGTGAGATGATCCCAAAGTCAGCAGTAGGAGAGCTGAATGAGGACTCCAGCAACATCATTGAACTCATCCAGGTGGCCTACAATGTAAGTGCTGGAGGAAGCTGTGTTTCACCTGTCTGGCAGGGCTCTGAGCAGGGAAAGGTTTCCATCATGTGTCCTCGCTGTCAGAGAGCAGATGGGACCAGGGCTTTAAGTACAGGACATGCTGAGACCCTCTGCCCACAGCAAGAAAGAGGTCCCTGCCTCTCCAATGCTATCACCTGCCTTTTGAGAACCACCCCAGGCAGCTGAGACCACAGCCTGGGGTGCTCCCTGCCCCTATCCTCCGGGCTCGAGGGAAACCCTGACCTTCAAACCCACACCCCCTTACTTTGGTCTCCTGTTGGACTGATGGCACTTTCTCCACCATTCCCCCGCAGAACCTCTCCTCACGGATTATCCTGGACCACTCCACCCTGCCAGACGTCCTGGATGTCAAATACGACTCCATATGCAGCAAGGACAAGTTCACCTTTGATGGAGCGAAAGGGGACTGTGACAACGTCAAGATCAACGATGAGGTATGTTCCCTCATACCCTCATACCACGAATGCCCCGCAGCTTGCAAGGTTCCTAATGCTCATTGGTTCAATGGAAGGAACCCAGCCTGTTGTTCCAGGCTTTCTGTTTATGTGAATTTAAGGCCAGGAATATCCAAAATATTGCGGGATGGAGGGATCCTCCATTGCACTGGATGTGCATGTACTCAGCCTGGGGCTGATATCTAACCCTTTGGCTGCTGAAGCTACCTGGTGGCCTCTGGCCCTTCTTTCTCACTCTGCACTTTCTAGGTGATCTTCAAAGTGAAGGTCACAGCCAAGGAGTGCATCAAAAGCCAGTCCTTCACCATCCGGCCTCTGGGCTTCACAGACACCCTCACTGTCCACCTGGACAGCAATTGCAACTGCAACTGCAAAGAGCAGCCTGACCCAACTGCCTGCAGTGGGAAAGGTAGCATCATCTGTGGGATCTGCAGGTATGTGTTGTCCCCCAAAACACTATTTCAAATGCTGCCAGAGCTGAGGAGCTTCTGCAAGAGAGCCACTGGGCAAAGCCGAAGGCTTGGCTCTGCAGCTTTGCCCCAGTTTTCTTATTCAGAGAGGGGGATTACATTCATGGAGGCAAGGGACACAAGGAGCTCTCTCTTCTGTCGGTGGAGCCTCTGTTGCTTTCCTAAGAGCATCCACCCATCCATCCATACAGCCTATTCATGCATCCCCCCAGCTATCCAACCACCCACCAACCCATCCATTGAGCAGACACAGATTTCTGTAGAAATCTTTCAAAATCCCACTTCTGGGCTGCAGTTCATGCAGGTCTTTAAGTGCAATTATTGCTTCATGGCCCCTTGGTGACAGGGAGAGGAAAAGAATGGGTTTCCTCAGAAAATACTCAGACCTTCTTGGAAAGGGTTTGGAAATTATAAATACAACAATAAGCTCTGGGAAACCATTTGGTGCTGTAAATATGACTGGGGGAAAAGCAGAATTTCTGAGGTTTCCTCCCAGTCAGCTGCCCTGCTCCAGCACTGAGTTAGCACCAACATGCCATGGTTGGTTTTCAGTGAGGCTGTCCCAGATTTGCTCTGCTTTGGATGAGATCTGGGCCCTGCACATGCCCCCTGGCATTTCTTGTGGCCACTGACCTGGGCTTGCTTGATTCCTTTGATGGCAGCTGCAATTCGGGCTACACGGGGAAGAACTGCGAGTGCGAAACCAAAGGCAAGACCAGCAAGGAGCTGGAGGGCAGCTGCCGGAAGGACAACAGCTCAGTCATCTGCTCAGGGCTGGGGGACTGCGTGTGCGGGCAGTGCATCTGCCACACCAGCGATGTGCCCAACAAGCAGATCTATGGCACCTTCTGCGAGTGTGACAACATGAACTGCGAGTTTCACAACGGCTCTCCCTGTGGTGGCAAAGGTGATGCATCTGCGTGATGACGTCTCTACTGGGGAACTGTTTAAGAAAGATTACATCCCCAAGGAGATGCTGCCTTTCCCTGCCAAAAACCAAGAGGGTGGGTTTGGGGGTCCTGGGTCCCACTGCACCAGTCAGCAGGACCTCCTTGACCATCCCATGGAGGGTTGGATGGAGAGCGCGGGGTGGGTGGTGCTCTCCAAACACAGGCAGAGGGAGGGCAACTCGGCTCTCTGGAGGATCCTGGTCTGAAAGGTCTTCTACTCCAGAACGCGGAAGATGCGACTGTGGGGAGTGCAAGTGCATGCCTGGGTACGAGGGTAGTGCCTGCCAGTGCAAGAAGTCAACAGATGGCTGCTTGAACATCCATGGCAACGAGTGCAGCCACCGCGGGACCTGCCACTGCAACCGCTGCCAGTGCCAGGAGGGATACCAGCCCCCCTTCTGCCAGGAGTGCCCCGGCTGCCCCTCACCCTGCGGCAGATATGTGTGAGTGATGCATGTGGAGGCTGCATGGGGGGTAGCAGGGATGTCCCCCACCTCCCTGGCATGCGCAGGAGAGCCCTGCCCATGCTTGGGCAGAGTCCAGTCATGGCCAAAGCCAGGTGAGAGGGCTTGTGCCCCTGCAGAGGTGAGCTGTGGCTGCCTGTTTTGCAGCTCCTGTGTGGAGTGCAAGGCCTTCCAGAGTGGCCCTTTCAAGAAGAACTGCTCCCAGGCCTGCTCCAACATCCTGGTGGCCGAGGAGTTGACAGAGGCGAGGAAGCAGTGCCGGGAGAAGGACTCCGAAAACTGCTGGATCTCCTTCCACATGGTCCAGGAGGATGGCGAGGAGATATACACCATCAGCGTCAATCCTGAAAAAGGTACTCTAGTCCTGCCCCTTCTGCCCCTCTGCAGAGAGGCTGCCATCTCTGCCATGGTGGCCTTGTCATCTTGCTGGGGCCTGCAGCCAGATGCTATCTGTCTGCCCCTCAGAGTGCCCAGAGCCTCCCAACATTGCGCTGATTGTGGGCAGCACCGTCGCTGGCGTGGCCCTCATCGGCCTGGTGCTCCTGCTGATCTGGCGGCTCTTGACGGAGCTGTTTGACCGCCGGGAATACCGTCGGTTTGAGAAGGAGAAGTCCAAGGCCAAGTGGAATGATGTAAGAGAGCCTGTCCGCAGGGGTGGGGAGTGCTGGGACGCACACGTACATGTGGTGGGGACACCCGGAGGGGACATCCTCTCCAGAGGCAGTCAGGGCAGACCTGAGCCCTCCCACTGGCCAATTTGGCAGCCAGCTGGATTTTGCAGGGAGCTAAAGCAGCCTGTGGGCTCTGTCTGCACTGTTGGGAGGGGTGGGGTGGGTGATGCTCTGCTGAAAATCTGATACAGCACAACAATGCGGGCCTCTCACCTCTCTCCCTCCAGGCTGATAACCCCCTCTTCAAGAGTGCCACCACTACGGTTGTGAACCCCAGATTCAATGGGCAATGAAGCAGAACAACACCTGCCAGCACTAGGATCCACCGTTAAATAAAGAAATGCCAAGCTAAGGAAATCTTAAACTAAGGCTCCCACCTCCTCTTCTTTATCCCATTTGTTCCTTTCTTCCAAGAGGCCACCAGCACGTCAGGCACTGGCTGCACCACACCTGTCTGCTGGTGCAGGCTGAGTTAATGGAGCCAGGAGAAGGGAACAGACACCACTTTGCCGTGGAAGGGACTGCAGAGCAGGTCTCACCAGCGGGCACACACAATGGCTCCCATCCCAGCTACCAACTGTCTCAGCACTTGATGCTGTCTTTGTCTTCTGACAGAACTCTCAGACACCAAGCCCCCAAAACAGCTGAGCACTCAGAGTGCTTCCAGCTTTGATTTGGAGCTGGAATTTCAAAACTGCCATCTCTCTGGGAGCAGGATCTGCTCCCAGGCTGCTCCATGCCTTCCCCTGCTGCACTGGTCTCCACCACTATGTTTTTATTAGTTTCTAAAGCACTCACTGATGATTTGGATGTGGAGGGTCCTCTAGGCTGGTGGTCTGCTCTGGAGGATGCAGTGAGGGGATGGTCCCTAAGGGCTAGCAAGGACCTGTACCGGGAAATGAAGAGCAGCTGGGGAACATGCACTGAATCTTTTTTCCAAATTATCAGCTGCTTCCTGGTGTTGCTTCCATCTCAGACCTACCTTGGGCAAGGTTCTACTTGGCCTCCTGCAAGCTTGGCTTACTTCCACCAGGCCTTGAGACCTCTGCATAACAAGGAGGCAAAGGAGCAACTGTTTGAACTACGCAACATCCGCACCGAGCACTTGAAGCGTTGCCTGCAGCTCAGAGGTTGGCCACAGCTTCTTCCACCGCCCCCAGAGCTAGATCTTTTCCGTGCCCTGCACATCAGGCATCACAAGGGCCAGGTGTGCAAAAGACCCAGCAGTACCAGGAGCATCTCCAGCTCAGCACTTTTCCAAAACATGCACAGCAGCTAATTATGTTGTGGGGTCATTCCTGTGAAATAGCGGTACAATTCCATATTTGCTTTAAGTTTGTGAGTAATTTGCATTTAGCTGTATTATGTCACATCTTCAGTTGCTCTCTGAAGAGGTTTGACGTTAATAAAAATTAATATAAAAAGTAAATACATCTGTCCTTCTAAGAACCAGGTGCAAGGGCAGCAGCTGAAGCCTTCACTGGAGAAACTACAGCAAAATCCTGTCATGTGTGCCAGCACCTCCCGTACATACAGTGCCTGGGAAAGATGCTGGCCAGAGAAACAAACTGTCTTCTACATTAATTTTCCACCTACGGCCTGAAAGGTGCTCCCCTGCAAGCTGAAAGCAATTCACTAAATGATGCAAACCAGTCTTTGTCTCTGCCAGTCTGATGGCAGCTACATGTAAACTACCTTAAACAAGACTGGCTGTACCACATCAGATCAGGGGTTAATTTGGGCCATTTTGCTGTTCCTCAGCACTGACTGTGAAGGTCTAGAGCAAAGTAAGAAGGAAAGTGTCTGATACTTCCCCCAGTACTATCTGATCAGTACTATCTTGCTCAGACAGTGGAATAGGCTGCCCAGGGAGGCGGTGGAGTCACCATCCCTGGATGTGTTTAAGGGTTGTTTGGATGAGATGTTGGGGGATATGGTGTAGGGGAGAACTCTGTAGAGTAGGGCTGAGGGTTGGACTTCATGATCCCGAGGGTCTTTTCAAACCTGAATGATTCTGTGATTCTGTGATTGTATCCCAGCCTGAAGCTATTTTTGGCTCAAAGACCCCAAACACAGTGTAGGTCCCATGCACCCCACGCTTGGCCGCACAAAGTCACCAGAGACACCCCTAAGGACTCTGGATCTTGGATGCAATGCCCTTGGCCAAGGACTTTTACTTGAACATTTATCTGTCTCCCCTGTCAGCAGCAGCTCTTACTGCTGGTGTAGTGTGTACAGTACAAGTACAACCACATACATGCTTCGGAGGACAATTAGAGAAAGTCAATGACTTTTTCAAAACTAAATATGAACAGTAATTGCATTATACAGAAGTATATGCCAGGGCATGCGCAAAAGCCCAGGGGGGAGAACAGTGCAGTAAGAAGGGTCTTTCAGGCCCCTCATCTTGCTTTAGCCCAAAGGCTTAGTGATTGCTCTGTAGAGACCTGCTTGCAAAAGTCAGAAGTATTCTCAGCCAGATGTGGCATGGCCCTTTCTCCAGGCTTCAAGCACTGCCCCAGAACATCCTTTCTTAAAGTTGTTTCATTTCCAACAAGAAATGAACTGCATTTTCTTTGACTTGGGGTGGGAAGGAAGCTGGCTGATTTTCAAGTCAAGATGTTGACTTGATTTTGGTAAAAGCAGAAATCAGCAGTAGAGGCTGGGACACCCTGACCAGTTCAGGTGGCCATCCTGCTGGCTGGGAGAGCGCACACTGCCCCTGTTACTGCACACAAAACCCACCCCCAGCCCATGACACACCACAGCACTTGAGACAAGGCTGCTGAGGTGAGGCAGAGACACACCTGAGCCCTTGCAGAGGCCCTCTGGACACTCTGCCCCGATGGGTACTCTCACCTGGGGAGAGGGACCCCTCTGCTCCCAGGAGGGCAGGAGACAGAGGGGCTGCAGGAGCTGCCAGCCCACATCCCAAGAGAAGAAATGTCATCCAGCTGAGCCCATGCCTTCACTTTTATTACAGCCAGGATCTCTCCTCACATTGAAGCCACTTGTGTGCCAAAGGGAAAATTTCCAATATTCTTGAGATAACGGGACCAGACCCACAAGTTTTCCATGTGGAAGTCCAAGTCCTGTGCCAGCCACCTTATGAGAAGATAGGTGCCACACAGTCCTGCTGCCCCCATGACAAAGAGCCCTCGATTAATTATCTACAAGGGCAAAGAGAAATCCCAGTGTCATCAGTGCCTCGTTGCTACCCTGCAGCACCAAGCCAAGTCTTCACACCTGCACCCACCTGGCAATATTGCACCACCAAAGCTCCCCCCCACAGCTGAGCAGTGCTGGTGTGCAGGATGTGGAGCTCACGAGGTTCATGGCATGGGGAGGATGGGTACCATCACTGACCAACCTTTTTCTGCCATTTCCAGCGCTGAAGTGCCTCATGGTAGCGAATTCTGGTGAAGGTCACCTAGGAGGGTTGCAGGACCACATCACCACCTCGATGCCAGCCAGGAGGAGCTTACAGCAGCTCAGGCAGCAGGGACCAAGGTGCTGGCCTTACCATGGTGTACAGTGGGACGATGGTGGAAGGCATGAGGGTGTGGAGGAAGTTGTCTATGTGCTTCCGGAAAATGAACCATGTTGAATTCACGTGCTCACGCATCTGCAAGAGAACAACCATCACCCCTTTGCAGGGTGTCTTAGCAGAGCCTCCTCTGTTATGCTAGCTCTATGGCTGCCTGTCCCGAGGGCCACCTCAGGGAGCAGAGCCTCCCCAGACCCAGTGGCATTCCCAAGGAGCTCTTAGGCTAAAATCTGCCGAGGTGAGAGCCCGAGCAGAGTCTTGCCAGAGCCCTTGCCTGCTGTGTGCATTCTAACAGGGTGCCACTGTGTGAGCAGCCCACAGGACCACAAGTCCCTGTGAGCTTGCCTACCTCTACATAGTTGTACATGGCTAAATCTGAGATCGCGTGGTCATCTGGAACCCTCAACCTTGAGAACTCAGGGAGGCAGACACCTGGGAGAAGAAAGCAGCAGCTCAGGAGCAGCTCCCCAGCAGGGTATCCAGCTGCAGAGTCATCCTCCTCTGCTCTTGCTCCTCCCCAGCCACCTCACTCACCAAGGTTGTTGTGGAACTGGTCCATTAATTCATCAAAAACTAGACAATCCTCAAAGCCCTGGGAGGAAAATTAGAGGATAAATAGGCAGAAGGAATCCTGTGTTCACAAGAAGTGCCCTCCAGATGCTTCACTAGTGTAGCTGTTTGCACGTGTAGGGTCCCACTGACCACAGCTTAAGAGCAGGACTCTTATGCCAGGCCCCTCTGCCAGGGGTATTGCAAAGAAATCCTGGGGGTCGCCATTCCCGGCATTCTGGGGCTGTCCTGCTAGACCCCTCTCCCACACAGTCCTCTGCCCCATAGGCACCACCACACTGTCCCCTTCCCTCCCCGTAGGACAGCCAGGTCCTAGCGAGCAGCCAGGTGCCAAGGATTGCTCAGTGCCTGCTAGTGCAAAGGACATCAGACTATGGGACAGGCCAGCCCATGAACTCTATGGAGCCACACTCTAAAACCAGGCATTTCTGGATGAAAAGAGCGACACCGACTGACACGGCCCAGGGCCAGCTGTGAACTTACTGCATTCATGCCCTGTCCGTAGAAGGGCACAACAGCATGCGCGGCATCTCCCATCAGCACGCACTGGGAAGCAAGGTGGTAGGAGGAGCACTTCACAGATATCATGGCCTGGGCTGGCAGCAAAAAGTAATCGTGCTTCAGCTCTCGCCTTCAGGCAAAACAACAGATACTTCACTTGTGGGACCACAAGAGACAAGAAAAATAAGTCACACCATGTGCAAGCTCAGGAAGGCAGAGCCACAGGTGCTGTCAGCATTGGGATGCTGATATTTGTGCTGGGAAAAATGTAGAGGTCATAGAACCTATTTCATTAACTTCCCCCTATGGATCAAATATTTTGTCTGCAGGTTTTAAGCTCTGCACACAACCTGACCATAAGTAAGAGTGTCACTGACATTTCAGTCCTTTTCCTGTGAGCAGTGGTGGATGTTGGCCACTGTAGGAAGGATATACTAGAGGCTATCTGAGCTTCTAAATTTATATGAAGTTCTGTGATACAGCCTCCTTAAGAGGAAAGGAAACTGCCTAACACAGCTGAGACCCTTCCTATCAGCCAGAAAAAGCCTGTAAGATAATTATATTGCAGAGCATAAGCATTAATAGGGTGGGCTGGAGCTCCCATTGACTGGGGATCATCCCCCTTTGCAGGAACATGAGGACACGCTGAACAGAGCCTTGGCCATCAGGACATGTGCTGGAAAGGCTGGTCTCCCTGCCACCACTGGTGCCCATGCCCCTGGTGCCAGGGCCCCAGGGGGAGCGGGATGCTGTGGCTCCATGCTGCTCCCCTTGTGCTGTTCGCCCACCAGCAAGAGGGTCCCCCCTGCCCGGGGAGCAGAACGCTGCTGGGAACTGCCTGCTCTTGTGTCTCACAGCCTTGATATTTGTTTTAGCCATACAATCAATCAGCGCCAGTCTTTGTTTAGTCAGCACGGTGGTTTGTTTTGGTTGGTTGGTTGGTTGTTTTTTTGCCAAGCCCAGCTTTTCTCAGTCTGTTAGCTAAAATCTCAACATTTGCACAACTCCGCTATCTGAACATGGCTTCATGCTGCTGGTTTTGGTGTGCAACCCTTACCTTTGCTCTAGTGGAGTCACTTCGCTAGCCCACATCTCACGTCAGTAAACCACAGCCTATGAACAGCTAACCCTTGAGTTCAGAACCTTTAACAGCGACATGAAAGCAGTGGGAGGTGATCTGCTCTTTGCTCCTGCAGTGGCAGGGCCTGGGCTCTGCCTCCAAGGGACAGAGAGGTGCTCCAGTGTGATTCCATCAAAAACTGCCATGGGATGGGTCTGTGTCCCACTGCTGAGCCTGTTATTCCAGCATGGATGCAACATAGACCTACAGGCCATGGGGATCCACCCCAACTCTGTTCGTGACCCTGTCACCATGACCTAGAGGCTGGGTGGGGATGTGTCCCCTGGCTTCAAGGCGCTGTGTTGATGAGTGAGACAGGGAGATGGAAACACTTACTCTCCGATGAGGGGGATGGCATCTGGGAAGTAGGTCTGGAAAAAACTGAGCACTTGCTCCCCTGTTGTGAGCTTCTCAAATTCCTCAAAGGGCATGAAGAGCGTGCAGGTGAAGGACTTGTCCTACCAGCCGGGAAGGAAGGTCAGAAAGAAGCCCAGAGGCCATAGAGAGCACCTGGCAGCTGGAGCAGCAGCTCAGTGCCCAGCCAGTCACCCGGTAATCGCAGCAACCTGCCTGAGCAGTGGGGCAAGTGCCCAGCCACCCCCTTTCCCATAGTGGGTTTGCACATGCTGGGAACAGGCAGGGGGGAGG